TAATGTTTCGAAATCAGACTTATCAGGTGCATCATCAGATGAACATTAGGTAATGCTTTATGTGCCTTTTTCTTCATATTAATCTCGCTTTTTTCTTATTAAAAACATGACTCCCTCATATATGAATATACTCTAAGCGTAAGCTATAGTATATATTCTGACAGTATTAGCTTTAGCCCTTACATGTATCCTGTATTAATATTATTTTGTGACGGCTGACAAAACTCCACTATACTTTCGTCAATTGGCGAACGTCCGCTGTACTTTCGCCAATACGTACCTTGGAATTTCGCCAATTGGCGAAAGTTCACCTTACCTTCGCCAACACATCCCTGTACTTTCGCCATTTGGCGAATGTCCTATTGGCGAAAGTCCGAATTGGCGAACTTCCGGTAACCCAATCTCACCCGTTGGATCACTAGCCAAAAACCGACGTGAGATCTGAGGATTCTACGTGAAATCTTATGATACAATTTTCAGTCCCATACTATGATGTTTTGCCGAGACATTCAATAAACAAGATTGAGAATTACTTTATTTTACAAACCTAAATTCTTGATGTGTCTTCATGCTATATAGTTAATTTTTGCTTTGTTCAACAGAGAATGTCATTATGCATGACATGACAGAACGTATTTTTAAAACTATTACGTTTGCAAGTAGGAAAACTTCAACGCCGAGCAAACCGATGATAGAAAGTATCAATCAATTTTAGAAAAAAAAACCGAATGTACCAAATAAAAATCATTTCATTTATGAGAAATCAAACTTCGCGCTGTTTTTTCTATGCAAAGATCTTGATTTCGACAATTGTGACGAAGATTGGTTTTCATTCAGAGACTTTTTCAATTGTTAAGAAATGGAAAACAATTAGTCTCGCGTTTTTTGTCATTATTTTCTCTGGTAACATACAGAATGATTGCTGGGCGTCCCCGTCCAACTATCGCTAGATAAAAGCAAAATATCATCTTTCGAAAATTCCACGAAACATTGTCGGTAACTTTTACTCTGTTTATAACTATTTTTCTTATCACAAAAGCTGTTTTTCTAGTCTTCAATTGCTAAAATTGCTCATCTAAATGTCAAAAGCCTTTGATTTCTGCAGAAAATATTAGCAAAAAAACGAACTCGCAATAGAAATCGATCTCGGCAAGAGCGACGTTGATTTTCACAATAGAATATCATAGCGTTTAGCTCGAGCAGTAATTCTCAAACTACTGTTGATCTCTCTGAGTTGCTTTATCAGGAATCTGCAAACCCACTAAATTCTCCTTACAGAAATCATAATCTGAGTTCGACAAAAATAAAAGAAAAAAATTAACACTTGTACTTACCATTCGATTCTAAAGTCGAGGTACACTTGGCATAAACGTTGGTTTTAAATGAGCCATATCATCAGATAGTAGAATTATACCACCTGATGATAACCAATTTTAAAATCATTACATAAACAATAAAGCTTAAACATAAATTTAAAAAAAAATTTTCTGGAAGATTCTCAATTATTTACTTCAACAGCTTGTTCATATGCATGAGCCAATCATAAATATGAAGTTAACGTTTCCAATTCATTCAAAACAGATCTCTAAATAAAAAAACAAGCATGTTGGTTTTTGTTAATAAAAAATAATTTACAAGTAATTCAGTTGCTGTCTAAACCACAGAAACCATATTTTTTTTGTGTAAACATGACACCGTTTGGTAAACCTGTTGTACCACTTGTATAAAAAATTTGAAATAAATATTTAGATTTAGATGGCTAAAAATCAACACTCCATGGACCTATTATTATCTATCATTCATATTCTTACATAATGAGCTACTGATCTTGATTGACTGAGTTCCTGAATGAAACACAAAAAAAAGAATGAATATTTATTAATAAGAATTCATTTTTTTTGTAGTCTTACTAATAATCGTTGATATGTGAAAATTTCAATTCCTTTTCTAGAAGCTTTTCTCATCAGTTTAAGTTTTTTGTGCTCTGATAATCTTTTTATTAATATGATCCGTTCTAATGTTGGAACTCGACAAGCAAGTTTAAGTAAGGTTAGAATATTTTCAGATTTGTCAACAAAAATTGTTCTTAACTTGACTGTAACAAAAAAAAACGTCAATAAATAATAAAAAAATATATATTTGATAAAAAAATTTACTCTGATTCATAATATAAATAATAGCAGATTCTCCGAGTATATCATAAAGAGATACATAAATCACACTATAAGAATGACATGCTAAAGCTGTAATTAGCCACTATGAAAAAAAAAAACGAATAGAAATAAAAAATCTAAATGACCAAATTTAATGATTATACTTCAACATTATTGACTGCATAGATATCAATGAATGTATTTTGTCCATTGTTTTCACCTAATCGAATAAATTCACTACCAATATCTATAGCAGCACGTTCGGTCTAAAACATAAGATATTTATTTGAATGACATGAAATTTTCGATTATTTACTTCTTCGTATGTCACCCATATATATATTTACTTTTATAATCTACTCGAAAACCTAAACATCGATTGTCTCCTTAAAAAACGATACATTTAGATAGAATTTCTTAATAATACTATTTTACCATATTTTCTTGCAATATGTTTGCCAATTTTAAAACCCTCGTAAATTGTAGTGTAAACACGACCATCAGTCGAAGATTTACCAGTTTTATTGAATGGTTGTGAACCTTGTGATGCAGCAACTCGAGCTTCTAGACATCCTTGTGCTTTAAAAGAAAAAGAAGGTATTACAGTGGTATTATACAATTATTTTCTAAGGAAGACAAAAAATTTATATTTATATTTAACTTAAGATTGAAGTAAATTATAACCGATGAAAACCAAAAAAAATCGGAAAAAGCACTAGTGTTTTAAAAATTATAATGCGTATTTGCTGTACAAAATAAATTCTCATTCAGAAAAATGATTTTAGCTCAACAGCTTTTCCAAAATCATATGATCAGTCGAGGAAATAAACGAAAAATGAACTTACCTAGGATATGCATAGCAAAGAAAAGAGCGTACGTATTTTTATTATTTACAACAAGTCAATCTTAAGGGTATCAATTCTCACTCTTTCCGTGTCTTCTAAAGAACAGTTCATCATCAAAATTTGAAATTTTCCCGTCAGATAGAGCGAAAATTACCATTCTCGATACTGACTTCTATGAAATGTTGAGATTCAGACGTTTCCGATTTCTGTTTCGATTTCTCCACAACAATGTATTTGATCAAGTTGAAGATTTTCTTCCAACATTAGATACTAGTTCTGAATGTTTATCTTTTTTTCTTTTCCATAGAAAATTCAAAACATCAGACGTGCACTAAAAACACAGTTTCTTCGAATAAAACATTTTCCGTTATTAGGTATTGAAATACTTCGGTCACCCATCTTGTTACATTTTAAGTACTGTACTATTAAGATATTTTTTTACATCTCTAGACATGTCGCAAATGCCGCTCTTCATCAATCAAGAAACAATATTTCGAGTAGACAGGAGTGCAATTGCCGGTATTTCTTAGTCAAATGTCCTCCCGAACACCTGATTCACTCCCTTAGAGTCTCTAATTATTGTAAGATCATGCTACTGAAATTAAACATTGGTCTTCTCGGAGTTTGAAATCAAAAAACTACTTGCGTGATATTTAAATGTTTTTATAAATCTTTACTTGATATATTAATTTTTTATCTTTTGATTTTATTGACCTTGGGTGAAATAGTAATTTTCTATGAATTAATATCTTGACTCATTTCCTCGTCAACACGACTTTGTAAAAAAAATTAAGATAATTTATCCTTCTGATGATGAATACAGCACTAGCAACAGGTGTCAGTGCACAAGCAATAATTAATTTTTTCTGCTAAAAAAACCGAATGTTATTTATCAATATCATTCGACCTATTATTTCGATTATACCTAGTATTTAAATAAGCATCAGTAATTAATGTAAATGCAAACTATAAAATTATCATAAAGATAAGTCGTAACGTCAAAACACAAAAATAAGTCTATAGATTCTATCATAGCGATAGTCACGAAATCAAAAAAAAACAACATTCTTACTAGTTAAAAATCTAGTTCGCAATATCAAATGAGTGCAATCTATATATGAAAAACCTGAATTGCTGAATCATGGCAATATTACCATACGTGACAGTAGAACATATTAACGGCTTAACCCTTTCGGGACGGTGGTACATACGTTGTACCACCTATTTATTAGTAGAGAAAAAAAATGTTTTGTCTATGTTAAAATGTTAAACCTATAAGATCTCATAGGTCGTCGGTGGCATCATTTGCCAACTCATGATTATCTTTTCTTTTTTTTCTTGCTCTCATATGAATTCTTTAAAATGTTCTCTGTTATTTCTATTATTGTACAGTAACATCATCATTTTACTCTTCTCCTGATCTGCCGTCTTTCGAAAAATTCAAGAATATTCTTACTCTTTATTGTGCATTCTTCGCTTCTCATCGACGAATTTACATTGTTCTCAATTTTGAAAAAGTCTTATCCAGAGGCCGAAACAGGGTAGATTTTTCACTACCCGTTCCGCCCCAACATTTAATCTTTTCTTACTTCCTCGCTGTTAGCTCGTACCTCGAGCTTACGTTTATTTATTTTCCTCGAAAAGTATATATTCTTCTTAACAACACGTACATATATATAAACCAACAGAGAGAAACAACAAAGAGAAGAGAATAGAAAAGAGAGAGAAAAAAAAGAAAAGATACTAAAAGATATCGAGAGGTGGAACTAGGTGAATCACCGTTAACAGTTTTCCCCCTCCACCATTAGATGTGTGTCCGCACACATAGGTCTTATATTCCTGATGTTGTAGTTTAATTTCAATGTAATGTTTCAATTGTTAATTTTTATATCAATTGAACTGTTCATTAATAATCATTCAAGTTGGAGGAATGGTTGTTCAACTAATTGTACATATGAATCTGTTTCATCTAATGGTGTATAATTAAAATAAAGCTAAGCCAGTAACAAGAATGCATAATTTTGATTGTTCATATTGTTCTGAAAAAAAATTTGAATTTTCTTCAAAATGTCCTAACATATATTGTATAAGACGAAATTTCGTAAATAATATTGTAAAAAAATATCGATTTTGTATATATATATATATAGTTGATGATCTTTTCGATAATCTTCAACTAATTCAGTACATGAATGCAATCTGATATTTTTAATTTTTAGTTGTATCAATAATTTATAAAATTGTCATTAACCGATATTTTCTTCTCTTCATAACCAGTTTAAATGTTCTTCCACATTCATGTTCTACATCAAATTGTTTTTCATAAATAATCATATTAACATTTAATGAACTACGTGGTAAATACCCTTCAATTGATATATTTAGTGTATTATCATATTGAAATCTTTATGATACATTTTGTTGAATTGATGAGTTTTGTTTTTTTTTTAAACCGCACGATCATTTAATTCATATAATATATAACGATAATTTTCAATTGTTTGATCAATTGTTTGTTGTTGACATATAAATGTTTAGCTAAAATGAAAAATGCGTAATTTATATTTTAACCCTTAAAAGCCGAAAGTCCTTATTGCGGTATCAGGAGGAAAATAATTATCAAAAGTGAACTATTAAGTCCTCAGTACACGCATAATATCATTAGAACGAACTACATTGATCTCCTTCCCGAGCCACGCGTTGCTTTATACCAGAAACATAGAATCTCACAAAACTCTGTCAGAGTGTAGCTTTGAGTTGAAACTTTGCTCATTAATAGTTCCTATTGCTGTTAATATGCCCTGAAATTTCCAGTGAAAAAGGATGTTTTGTTCTTGTGATAATGAACGCGGAAAAAATTAGCAACATTTTGCAAAAAATTCCTGAAATT